AATTGGACGAACACTCGCAAAGCACACCTGTCGGACGAAATCGATAGACCCGCATCTGGGTTTTTGCCAAGGACCTGTGGGCTGCTCTCTCTATGGAGAAGGAAGAGAGAGAGATGAAGCCGAGCTGAAGATAATCCAAAGAAAACCTCCAAGATTGCAAGCTCAAGGCGTTACGTTCAAAAGTTAATTCTTCTGCATCCTTCTGCCTCACAGATATATGCCCTATACCTTTTATACAGATTGACTGGCTGACTAACTTATTGAGTGATTGACGGATTGACGGACTGATTGGCGAATTGACTGACTGAATAACTGTGTGTATATTTCAGGCCAAATGTTTCGCATTTTCGGAACTTCTCTCCTTTCATTCTCAATAGCTTGTTCAGCATCTCATCAATCACATGAGTGAATGATCAAATGACCGATTGACTGACTAACTGACTGATTGACTGACTAATTAACAAGCTGGCTGACAAACCGACGAAACTACTTGCATTGACTAAAGTTCTCTTGCTGCCCATTCTAAATAAGAAATTCATCAGCATAATCAATCACATGACTGACTGAATGACTGACTGACGGCTTAAGTGAGAGACTGATTGACTGACGAACAATATTTGTCAGACTTAAATATTTGCTATACCATAACTTCTTTCTTCCCATTCTTAAAAGCATCTTCCTTATCAAACACTTGCCTGATTGAATGACTGACTAACTGATTGACTATATTTAAATATATTTTTTAGTCTCAACTATGTGCATTGCCCAAAGTTCTCTCTTCCCATTCTCAATAACATGTTTACCTTTTTATCAATCACATTCCTGACTGAAAAACCGACTGAGTAGTTAACTAACTGACTGATTGACTGAATGAATGATTGACCGAATGACTGATTGACTGACTGACTGCGTTACCATATTTCTCCAGCCAAATGATTCACATTTCTCGAAGTTTTCTCTTCCCTCTGCTCAGTAACATGTTGTACATCTTGATCAATCACATGCCCCATTTGCACACGCCAAGCCCATTCCGATTCACGAATCGTAAGCGTAATCAGGACGCAGTTCGTTGCACTTTTCCGATTGTTTCGAATACGTTTCGATTCGTTTCAGTTCGGTTCGGTTTGTTTTGTTTTGTTTTGTTTTCAGCATTGTTCTGTTGAGTGTGTTGTGTTTTTTTATCAGTTCGAGCTGATCATCTGCCGCGCCCTAAGCAGCACACACACACAGACACACAGGCAATTGTTTCGATTACGCAAAAGGGAAAAAAAATACCAGGCGAATGCAAAACGTGAAATCGCGCTAAGCCCAGGGAGCCAGAGAACGATCTGCCAGGATAATAGCTCAAGGCTGTATGCCTCTATTGTCCAGGCAGGCAGACGCTCCAGGCTTGAATAAATAGCGCCGGCTAAGCAAACAACAACAACAACAACAAGAGCTGGAGGAAAGAAAAGAAAATACATAATTGGGTTGCCAAATATTACGCAGCTAAGAAGGAACCGGCACAATGCCACAAGGCCTCTCACAGGATGCACGGCGCACCCACGGCGCAATATAGACTAGGTGCGCAGGGGGCGCATCCCTTTGTCTAGCTAAGCGGAAACAGACAATCGACAATTGGCGCGTCCTGCACCAGGATCTGGCTGCCGATAGCGTCGAGTTGAGAAGCTAAGTAGCCGGCTTAGCTGGCGGAGCCAAAAGAGTTGTCGATCTGTCGATCTCTCGATCTGTTCAACTGTCGATCTGTTTCACGATTGTCGCCGCAAATTGTGCGTAAGGATGCGGCGCAAGGTGCCGCCGCCGCCGCTGCCGGCGATCAGCTGTTGAGCAGCTGGCAGCTGGCAAGGATCAGCGGGCGCTGCCACAAAAGCTTCATGTGACCCTTTGAAGTTGGCCCGACAAACGCCTCGCATGTGTGTGTGTTTGTGTGTGTGTGTGTGCCAGGGGGACGCCTGTCATAACTGCACAAAGGACCGAAGGCAGCTTCATCATCGGCCTCATCCTTTGGCCCAGCTTCAGCATCAACATCAACTTCAACTTCCCTTGGCCTTTTGTTTAGCTGCCCGCCTCTCTGGCCATATAGATTTCAGTTTCGGGCAATGTTCCCGTCGCGGTAAGCGATATGGTTGCTTGTTCTTTTAATTGCTCGCCGAGCAACGATAGGCAATCTCTCTCTCTCTCTCTCTCTCTCTCTCTCTCTCTCTCTCTGTGTATCTGAATCTGAATCCGTGTCCTGGCAACTGGAACTAAACAGCAACAAACAGTCGACGTCGGCGTCCATTTGGCCTCAATGTCGGCGGTTTGGCGGCATTTTATTTTATATCTACATTTCTTTTTTGATTTGTCGGCGGACAACACACATAACTATATCAAATTACCGTGATGGGAGGGGCAGAGGCATTGCAGCAGGCATCGCGGCGACTAAAGGCAAGCTTTCGGCAAGCAAAGGCTGGCCATAGGCCAAAAATGCTCATTGATTGCGACAAAAAAAAAAAAACAGAAAAGGAAAATAAAAGCAAGTTTCAGCATTTTGCCAAATTCAAATTTGGCGCTGGATAACAGCCCTGTCCTAGTCATTCCTTAGCCAGGACACGCAACCGAAGTGCAAGTGCACAAACCTTACAACAATTTAACGAAAGTAACGCTTAACGCAGCCTGGACATGCACCACAAGCTGCGCTTACTTGCAACTTGGCTATGTGGTTGCAACATCGGCTGCAGCTCATGTGCATGCTGCCATATCGCGTGCATATCCTGCGCATGGCCTATGACCAGTGGCAGCACTGCACGCACCGACATGTTTTTTTGTTTTTTTTAGCCGTGCGTGCAGCGCCCAGCCACATACAGTCAGTCGAGAGCGGACAGCAACCGCCACAACAACTTTGTTTAAACACACAGCCTCTCAGAGCAGGCAACAACAACAACCACAACAACAACGCAGCAGCAACAATATCAAAAGAGCAGCAACAACAAAGCAGCAATGTCAGCGACTAGCTACAACACTAACAACAGCAACTGCAGCAGCAACAACAACAACAACAGTTGTTAGCCAGCGCCCACTCCCCCACCACCCCGCACAGCAGCAATTAGAGCCGCAGAGTTACCGCAGCTTCCGTTCCGTTACTTTTGCAGCAAACAGCTGTGTGAGTCAGTGTGCGCGTGTGTGCGTGTGTCTGCAGGCAGACAATTAACTGCTAGCAGCACATAATCCTGTTACTTCACAACGTTATTAGCAACTATAGAGCAGAGCAACTGTTAATAAATATATATACATATATATTCTAGTGTCCTGTGTGCGCGCGGTTACATAAAAAAAGAAAATATCAAAAAAAAATTAGTCATTCATAATTTATTGATTGCATGCGAGCGTGTGCGAGCGTGAGTGCGCGCGTGCGTGTGTGTGTGTGCTTGTAGCTGCTACTGGCACAACTACAGCCACAACAACTATCATTTGAACGCAGTTAAACAAAAGTCGCCAAGTCGCCTAGTCCTGTTTTGGAGCCTGGCTGGCATAAAAAATCAATAGACACCAGCAGCAGCAGTAACAAGACAACGACAACAGGCTACAAAACGCAGCAGCAACAACAATAGTAATAACGGATAATAGACGACAAACACACACAAGCGCAGAGCAAAAAAAAAAGTGGGAGCGGGAGAGAGAGAGAGAGAGCAAGAAGTCGCAGGTAGGTAAATCAGACGACAGCGTCATCCGGCAGGCAGCATAATAAAGTTCGAGTTGAGCAAGTGTCGCGTGCGTGTGCCTGTGTGTGTGTGTGTGTGTGAAAGGTTGGGGAAGCGCGCGAGCAAGTGCTTAAAAAGTGCAGTTAATTACGCGACAGCAACAGCAACAACAACAACAATAGCGGGCGCCAGTGTTGCTGTCCTTTGCAAGTGCGAACAGCAGGCGCCAGTGTTGCTGTTGTTAGCAGCCAACTTTCCGGCTGGTCCCTGCTGCTGTTGTTGTTTTTGTTATTATTGCTGGCTGCTGCTACTTTTTCTCATTAATTAGATTAAACGAATTTTTGCAGCTGCTACAGCAGCAAATTTTAGCTACATACATATATTTATTGTACTATTATGTAAGCGTCAGCACAACACTTTTGTTGCCACTTAATTAAGTTTTATTGTGCCAAAGGGGAAAATCGCTCAAGTCAGCTAAGCCCATGCCCCCCCCCCCCCCCCTCACAGACACACACACACACACACACACACACACACACACACACACACACACACACACACACGCACACACACACACACACACACACACACACACACACACACACACACACACACACACACACACACACACACACACACACACACACACACACACACACACACACACTGTGTGTGTGTCTGTGTGTGTGTCTGTCAGTGTGCAGCAAATTCAGTTCAAGGCAACGCCTCCATTGCCTCCATTGCCTCCATTGCCGCCATTGCCTGTGCAATCTCCAATCCACCCCCCCCCCCCTTCCACCCTTCTCTAACGGTCAGCCACTGACTTTTGCCTTTTGCTTTCTCTCCTCATCCCAGCTCTCTTCCAGCTGACTGAGCAGCATAATCATAAAAACAACAACAAGTACAACAACAACAACAACAACAAAGATGCACTCGGTGCCGCTGCTGTTGCTGCTCAGCTTGCTGCCGGCGCTGACGCTGACTGAGAATGCAACGCTAGCGTATCCGCCCGCGGTCGATGCCGGCGTTCTGGGCAGCCCAATCAGCTTTAGCTCGAGCACAGCAGCGCCGCAGCTTGGCAATGACTATGACAATTTGACCGCCAGCAGCAGCAGCAACAACAACAACAGCAACAGCAACAACAGCAACAACGATGCCAGCTATGAGCAGGGCTACAGCAACAGCAGCAGCAATGCAGCAGCAGCGACGCCAGCAGCAGCAGCAGCAGCAGCTACAACAACGACAACAACATCAACGACAACAACAACAAGCAGCGCAGCAGCAACTCTGGCGGCCATTGAGCAGCAGCAACAGCAGCAGCAGCAGCAGGAGACTACATCCAGCATCGGCGTCGGCGTCGGCGTCGGCGCTGGCGTTAACGTCGCTGTTGCAGCTCTGCCGCCCAATGCTACTGGCAGCAGCGCAGCAGAGGTCGCTTTCGCCGCAGCACCAGCGCCAGCGACCGCAGCGCCAGCAGCGCTGCCGCATGAGATAATTGGCTCGGCCACGCCCAACAAGGGGGAACAGGAGGCGATATTGCGTGCACTGGACTGGCTGAAGGAGAAGCGCGCCTCCGACTACGGCTGGGGCAATGACACGCACGTGGTCATACTGGCCAAGGAGCTATCGGGCGGTCGGGATCCGAACGAGAGCGCCGACGGGCATCTGCTGGTCATACAGGAGCTGGAGGATACGCTGTCCGTCAAGGAGATGGAAATCGAAATACTGGCCATGCTGGATCGCCATCATACGCTGCCCAAGCCGCTCAATCTGGACAAGCTGGCCCGCTATGTGCTGGCGCTGGGCTCCCTGTGCAAGGATCCCAAGCACTTCCACGGACACGATCTGGTCGCAACGCTGCAGCACCATGAGCCCGCCCAGGACATTGAGTTCGCCTTGACCACGCTATCCGCGTGCAGCTCGGCGGCGCACGTGCGCAAGCGCCAGATACGCCGCCTCCTGGACATCGCCAGCGGCGTAACGGATCAGAGTGTCGATGCCATTGCCATGGTGATTCTGGCGTTGCGCTGCATTGTCACCGATCATCGGCATCGGCATTTGCAGCACTTTGTGCGGCGTCCGGCACGCGGCCTGGCCAGCCTCCAGGATCAGCGCGGCAGCTTTGGTTCGCTGCGCAGCACCGCGTTGGCCATGCAGGCGCTGCAGGATCTGGAATATGATCCGGCCGGGCACTGGAATCGCACGGCCGCCTCGCGTTACATACTCAGCCGGCAGCGCGCCGACGGCGGCTGGAGCGAGGAGCCGCTGCAGGATGGCCAGGAGCCGGACATTGGCGTTGGCCTCACCGCCGACATTATCCTGGCCCTCGGCTGGAAGGGTCTCGGCGCCGTGCGCGCCCTCCAGTGCGACCATGTCATACGCGAGAGCAGCGATCCCACAGGTAACATTCTAGCCCAACCTTCCAAAACGCATGCTAACTCACTTTCCATGCAGAGAACGGCGAACCAAAGCTGGCCTTGCCCTTCGGACTCAGCTCCTCGGCGGAGGAATCGGATACCAAGAACATCTCGTACACCTACACACTGTGGGTCGGCTCCAATGTGACCGAGGCCTTCTCGCTGTCCCTGATCTCGCCCAAAAACACGAGCTTCTTCAAGGCCATGACCCAGGCAGCCGAAATGGATCCCAGGTGAGGGCCAAAATCCATCAAAAAAAAAAGAGAATAACCTTATTAAATTATGATCTTTGCGGGCAGATTCATGTTCGAGGCGCGCGAGTGGCCCAACGGACACTATGTGCACACGCTCTACGGCAAGAACGAGGAGCCGCGAGGGTAAGCCGGCACAGAGCCAATTTCCAATAATCCGATAATCCTTTGCCTCTTGCCCAACAAACAGATATCATTACTGGCTGCTCTACAGGCTGCCCGAGTTGCCCGATCCGAACAATACGCCTGGGAATCAGCTTATTGCGCCTGTTGGTCAGTCAACCGAAAGTGTTCCAAATGTGCCCAAGAATTAAACTCTAATCCATATTTTGACAGGTGTGGATGAGCTAATGGTCGAGGATGGGGAGCACTATCTATATTGGTATAAGAAACTTTAAGCACGCACACAAGGATTTGCCGGCCTTAGTCACTAAACTAAAGTTAAGCCACGAGGAAAGGAGAGGAGAGGAGAGCAGTGGAGAGGAGAAGCAGTCCGAGCTGCAAGGATAACACAGATAGCAAGGATAACAACTACAAGAGCAACTGTAACAAATGCAACTACTACAACTGCGCGCATGCATATGTGTATGTCTACGTGGCTCTCAATATACGTATACACACACACACACACACATACACACACTCAGTATCACACACACAGACATGCGTACATATTGCATTATATATATATATATATACAACTGAATAATAATGGCGTAATCAAAACTGCATTAATCGACACACACACACGCGCGCATTCTGCATATGCATATAGCTACACTCGTGGTCAAAACAATGTGCACACTAGCACAACTTCCTTTCATATGCATATATTTCAAATTCTTTTGTTAATATGCTCGAGGTTTCTTTTTTATTTGCACTGTGTTTTCAACATAATGCCAAACAGAGCAGCAAACATAGCTAGACACAGAAAATAACTGCAAGTGCTTGGACAAAACTGAAAGGTCAATCATGGCCTACTCTAAAAATTATACAGATTTCTAGCTTCGGGAGATACATTTCTTCATCTTCTACTTCGACACATTCACTAGATTTTGTGTTTATATCTGAACAAGCAGTCGACTTATTGTTTTGTCCAAGCATTTTTATTTATTGATCTTGTTTCACATTTTGAATGAAATTTAGTTCGCACTGTGTTTTTTGTTCTGTTTAGCTTCATGTTGTCCACACAATGAAAACAAAAGAGAAGTCTCGAACATATTTTCAAACAAATTTCAAATATATGCATCTAAAAGCAAGTTGTGATAATTGCCTCATTATTTTGACCATCAGTGTAAACACACACACACACACACGCACACATGCATAATATATACAAATATACCCTAACGTAAGCTTAACACTGTGTTTAGGTTCTACTTATCTATGATATGACAAAAAGCAAAATAAGCAAAAAATCAAACGACAGCAACAAAAACCAAGGCTAACAAAGGTTTAAAAAAGTGTGCACACTTATTGAAGGCACGTTGCGTTTACTGTTGCGCCTGTCAAAGTTGTAGTTAGTTGACAAGCAGTTAAACTTTTTCGCATACGAAATGCCTACATTTTGCGCAATAGTGGCAACGCCATTTGAATAAGCTGGCAACATTTCATTTGGTAGATTTACAGATATTGTGAATGCAATACTATTTTCATACTAAATATTTAACTGGCAGATAAATTGATTTTAATAGTTAAAACTGAGTTTAACAACATGTTCAAATAGTCGCCAACTTTGACAGGAACATGGGAAAAACTAGTTTGGAGAGTTCTCAAAAATGCATCAAACATACCCAAACAGACACACACACATGCACAAAAGCTTCAGAAAGCAGCCCCTCCCTCTCTCCCTCTCTCTCTCTCTCTCTCTGTCTCGCTCTCTCTGTCATCACTTGTCGAAACGAATGTTAACAAAAGTGAGGTTAGTTCATTTATTAAAAGTGAGGTTAGTTCATTTATCACTCCGTCCGTTTTGTAGATTGAGAGCGTAATGAGGAGATGCATGATCCGTCTTGGGACTTAATGCTAGCTGTTGCACACACACACACACACAAGCACACACACACACAATATGCTTTACATGTTATTTAACTAAAATTGCTTAAAAGAGACAGGCTTTCATGAACACGAGAGAAAGCGTCCGTCAGTCCAAGCAAAGCATATTATACCGAACACCGTAAGTAACAATAAGTGATTGAAAATCATCCCTAGACATACATAAATATATAAAACAATACATATATACAGCTAGATATGTATATATACATATATATACAAAAATATATAAAAATACCTGCATATACATACATAAATATATATACATAAAAAACGAAACTAGTTTTATATGAAATTAGGTCAAGAACGGAAGAAGAAGAAGAAAAAGAAAAAAACAAAGCAAATGAACGCCGTGTCCGGATTATATTATACTATGATTATATGAAAATGAACGAAAAATCATTTAACGAATACTATAAAGAAATAACGCAATGTCTGTAAAACTACACATCTAAACATTTAACGCTATCATGCTCATATGCCTACCTATACCCAATACCCTATACCCTATACACGTATACAAATACATAAAGTCAACATATGCATTGCTCATTGAAAGCCAAAAACATACTAACATACCTAATTATATAACCCATACTATCAAAATACAAATGAAAAAGAAAAAAAAACAAATAAATATTAAAATTTAAATCTCTAACGGTATTCTCAACTGCTTGATGCCGCAAAGCAGTTTAAGCTGTGGTCGCAGTTCAAGCAAGCAGTTCATTTAACAGTCACTTCAAAGCATACACGCTCGCTCTGTCTCTCTCTCTCTCTCGCTCACTCCTCAACCAAACAAGCAGTTCATTTAACAAGCACGCCAATGCTCGCTCGCCCGTTCTCTTTCGCTCTTTCTCGCTCCCTCTCTCTCGCTCTTCATCTCGAACCTTGCGATTTCAAACGTTAAACTTAACCACAAAAATGTCCTAAACCTAACCGAAACAATTTTTAAGTGCAGCTGTGCAAAAGCTAACCTAACTAAACTAAAACTTAATGGTTTATATTATAAGCATGAAATTGAGCTTTTTAATTGTGCAAATCCAAGCAAAACAAATACAAAAAACAACTAAAAACCAAAAAAACTCACTCAATTAATTGGAAAAGCACATGACAAATTGTCGTGCGGCTGCGTTGGCATTGAAAATAATAGGTATTATTGTTATTATCTTACCTGGCCGGATAACCAAAAATAATTTTGCCAGATTTGGATGCAGAATTGATCTAGAGGCCAAACCCTAAACAAAAAGACAAACCTTATGAAAATCGGTTGAGTTTTGACCGAGTTACGGGGGTGGGAAATATTGACCTACGTCTATATAGGATATTTGAGGGTACCATTTTGACATGAATTTTGACCAAAAATAATGTTGCCAGATTTGGATGCAGAATTGATCTAGAGGCCAAACCATGAATAAGAAGCCAAACCTTATGAAAATTGATTGAGTTTTGACCGAGTTACGGGGGTGGGAAATATTGACCTACGTCTATATAGGATATTTGAGGGTACCATTTTGACATGAATTTTGACCAAAAATAATGTTGCCAGATTTGGATGCAGAATTGATCTAGAGGCCAAACCATGAATAAAAAGGCAAACCTTTTGAAAATCGGTTGAGTTTTGACCGAGTTACGGGGGTGGGAAGTATTGACCTTATGCTGGCCGGATAACCACAAGTTTTCCATCAGCAGCGATTTCCGAGTCATACGAACAACTTTGGATGAAGTGCTCCAGGCTGAAACGTAGAATGCGACAATCCAATTCTGCGGGAACTGAACTGATTGCTGGTTCCTTCTGTGGCTCTTCAAAAGTAAGTCCCAAGTTCCTTGAATAAAGAAGCTGATAAAAAAATGTTTGAAAATTGTAATTAATGTTTTACTTACTTACTTACTTATAAATCGGCCATTTAGTTCACTCGTCATGAACCATGTATTCTGTACTCGTTCAGTCGCTCATGAATGATAAATTCTTGATACTCGTTCAGTCGCTCATGAACATTGTATGCAACTCAGTAGTTCAGCCGTTCCTGAACGAAACATTCGTTTGAGATGTTCAGTTCTTAATAAACATAAAAGATAGCGGGATTTAATTTCAATTTTGATTTAACTGCATAAGTGAACTAAGCGAATAGTTCATGACCGACTGAATAGCTGAACGAGTGAACTAAATTACCGAATGAACGAGTGAACTTGTTCAGCAAATTGAACTAGAAATCCGCACTCTACTATATAGTATCCCAGTATTAGCCGAAATCGGTTCATATCGAAAATAGACAAAGAACTATAAGAACTATCCGATGAAATATGTTGAAATGAATCTTTAAATAATATTTAAAATTAATTTCAGCAGACCTTTGATTCAGTTACAGCTGAAGACATGAATTGAACAAGGAGAGAAAATAATCTCGATCCGCACATTTTCTAGAAACTCGCTTTTTTTTTAAACATAGCATTTATTTTCAATAGATTTTTGTTCATTTTGCGTAGGTTTAAGCATACAATATAATAATATGATTTATAATTGGATTTTTCATTTTCCTTTTAACAATAATTGCGCATGGCATATAGACAAATATATATATTTATATAATTATATTTATTGTTCATTAACGTTAACATGCGCATGATATTGGAAACACGTAAATCGTTTTTGATTTATAAAAAAGATGTAAATTTTCAACATTCAATTATAAAGCCGAAAAGGATGGGAAACTCAAACAAAAATGCTTCGAAAAATCGTTTCTTGTTTTGTTTTCAGTTTCTCTCACTTTTTTTTAATTTTCTTTTTTTTTTTTTTTTTTTTTGATTTTAGTTGAATTTTAGTAGAAATGCAGTAAAATGGGGGGAGCTGAAAAAGTTGGCGTAGGAAACGGTTTTAGTTTAGCATCTAATTATTTCGAATAGATGGATTATAATTCTCAACAGGTGCCCGCTCGGGAGCTAGGCTCCTTTTAAATAGTTACAATAAACTGTTATTTTTCACGTTGCAAAAATAATAATAAATATAATAAAAGGAACAAAAATATATCTAGCAAGCTTTAGCATTTGTTTTTTTTTTTTGGCTTAAAGGCAATGTGCACAAGCATATACGTATATAATATCAGAGAGATATCTTGACATATATAGTATACATGCATATAAAAAAAATCAAGAAAATTATATATATATATATATATAATATAAGATAAAGTAGCTTTCAATTTGTCATCGCTCTCGTCATGCGAGTTAATTAGGCAACAATTTCCGTTAACAATTAGTTCTTGCTGCTAGACATCAGTTAGATATTGTTTATATATATATATCTATATATATATATATATATATAGTTATGTTAGAGAGTTTGAAAAAGGCCGCATAGAGCACACAAAGGCAACAGAGTTACAACATCAAAAACACACACATACACACGCACACACAGTTACACATATTTATATATATATATAAATATATATGACTTAATAGTACAAATACAAGATATAGCGCATAGATATTGACACACACACACACACACACACACACATGCAACAAAATTGTCAAGTTTTTCTTTAAGTTTTCTTTTTGTTATTTTCTTTGCTTAGCTTTTAGTTCATTTCAGCTGTTTGGAATCGCATTTCGTATAATCTAGTATGTATATATATATATATGTATATATGTATATATATTGTGTAAAATGTTATTTGCTATATACGTAATGCTGGGGCTTTGTTCTATGTAGCATTTGGACTCGAACATAGCATAAGGATGCATAATTTGTTCAATTAACAATAATTTCAACTGATTAATCTTTGCTGGATTACAATTACAAAGGTTGCCTAACACACATATATATATATATATATATATATATATATATATATAGTCCTGCTCTTACATGGCAAAGCTCAGCTGGAGCGCGTTGCGCAGCTCGTTTAGCACCATGGAGCCAATGACCATCTTCTCGCAGTTGACCAGCAGGGTGAGCGCGTCATCGGTTTGCCATTGCAGCGTGAGCAGCACCAGACTCTTGGAGCTCAAGGTTTGCCCCGCAAAGCAATGCAGCTGCTCCGCCGGCGAGCTGTATGTGTGCGCCACATTGAGGCATTCGTATACCTTTTGCTTGAGGGCCAACAGATCGATTTGGTCACGCTGCATGCCGCGCAGCTCGCACTGATGCTCGTTCATGCCGCGCAGCTTGGCACGTTCCTCCCGGTGGCAGCTTTCGCCGATTTGCACCGAACGCACCAGCTCGCCCACCGGCGGCTTTAGCTGGACGCGTGCACTGCCGCCGCTGGAGATTAGCTCGAAGTCGATCGCGTGCGTTGTATCGTTGAAATCCACGCCCAGTATGCCGCTCGCCAGCTGCTGCGGCTGCAGCTGTGCTATGGGCGCAAATTCGCTGAGGTGCATGCCCGGCGGCAGCTGCTGCTGGCCCATGCGTATGCTGGTTAGCTCCTGGTCGCTGCGATTCTGAAACTGCAGCTCAATGGAGCACATGGCCGATGAGTAGAGATGCGGTGCACGTGTGAAGCGATACGAGAGCTGCAAGCCATGTCCGCTGACCTTGTTCAGCAGCTCCTTGTGCTTGAACTCCGTGTGCGAGGGTCCAACCAATTCGATCTGATTGCGCGCCTGCTGCGGCTGCAAGGCAGCCTGGCCAGGCATCATTGGTGTGCCTGTAAATAGTTGATGCATGAGTATAAGTTGTGGCAAGAGCGTACAACGAAGAGAGCTTTAAGAGCACTTGAGAGCTTACAGAGAGCTTTATTGTATTAAGAGCCTTTACAAATAGTTTAGTTTGAGCTTTATTGAATTAAGTGGAGCTTTAAGCGGCTTTTATTGCATTAAATAGAGCTTAGAGCGAGCTTTTTGTATTATGTGAAGCTTTAATCGGCCTTTATTGCATTAACAAGAGCTTTTAGTATATTAAATAAGGCATTAAGCGGACTTTATTGCGTTAAATAAAGCTTAAAGCGGCCTTTATTGCATTAAATAGAGCTTTAAGCGGCCTTTATTGAATTAAATAGAGCTTTGAGCGAGCTTTTTGTAATATGTGAAGCTTTAATTGGCCCTTATTGCATTAACAAGGGCTTTTAGTGTATTAAATAAGGCATTAAGCGAACTTTATTGCATTAAATAAAGCTTAAAGCGGCCGATCTCTTTTCATTTCTCACTTTTACCCATTAAAGAAATTTTATTGCTAAACTGTTCTAAGGATTTGAGCTTTAAGCAAGACTTGTTTTAATCTTA